TTAGACTTTGCGCGCTTATTACAATTGAATTTCTATTAAGTTTGAGTTTGGTCTTATTATAAATTTAGTTGTGTTCAATTAAAGACTGAGTTATAATTTTCAAAAAGTTATATTTAACAGGGCCATTGATTCTCATTTTGTTGATAGCATAAGAATTAGAAGTTGCTGAGGTTAAATCTCTCACCGAATAAATAAACCTTCTAGACAGAATTATTGCTTTGTTAGGTCACCCACAGAAAACTATGTCTGGCTGTTTGTATAACCTATTTTGGTTACAATTGACAGCGTAATTTCGCAGGTTTTATAAGTCTGATCATACAACTTTTATTTCTTACGACATTAAGCCAACGTTAACTTTAGAGAAGATGTCCTTCGCCTCCTTAGCTACTACCGTTCGCTCATACTTGTAAACGGAAAATACTTGCTAAATAATATAAGAAGATTTATTAGAAACGAATAAAAATTATCGGTGTCTAATTTGTTGCAATACACTTCCTAATACTCTATTTAAGCAGTAGTAATTTTTGGTCATTGGGGAAGGTTCCAACGCTCTTTTATTGCCGTCCATTGAGTAACAACGTGGCAGAAATGTGCTCCACTTAATCACATACGAACTTATTTGATGATTCACTCAGTCATTTATGAAAGTTCTTCATGTCCACATACCGCGTTTCCCGGCACAATAATGACAAAGAAATAGTTATGACAAACTCTAATTTGATCAGAAAATAAACTCATACAACAAAATGTTCTGGCAACAGTTTGCTGGTGCCGTGTTTAAGCTGGAATAAAAATAGCCCATTTTTAAATTTGGCATCTGGCCTTCTCATATGCTATTAATTTGTTTGCGTAAAATTATTACAAGAAATTAAACAGTAATTCGTTCTCGTGTTATATTGTGGAAAACTCGCGTTTTACGTAACGTGTTATTCATATGAATGGAAAATAAAATCAGTAATATATGACTGGAAATATGGAAGGAGGATTAGATTTATAGTTGGAGGAATATTCTAATGCAAGAGCATGTCACCTGTATGAATTGTTATTTCTGAGTCGTGGGTTGCAAAAGCCGGTGTTGGGCATACGCAGTCTTCTGTATAGAGAACTCACATGTGGGATTTGAAAAAGAGGCTGATTGAATTCAAATAACAAGAGTGTTAAATGAACTCCCCAGAAATGCATTTCGTTAATATCTGTTTTCTGACTCCATCATTGCCCTGATTATGGAGGCAGCAATGACCCCTTAAAATTGTACCAGACGGTGCTACAGCTCAAAAGACAAGCATCCTTACAGTAAGGCATCACGCTTCACACAGTTTGGATTGATTTCCCTTGTACAGACATTCGTTAATTATTTGACGTAACGAAAATGGTTAAATTAGGCCTAAATGTTATATAATTTTCCAAATTATGCCTTTATTTTTATATAATGGGCCTGTTTTTTTTTTGCAATATAATCGTTTTAAAGAAAATCGAAAATGTATCTGATTTATATTTCAAGTACGAGATAACAAACCGAAGTCTTATTTAGTCTACAATTTCTAGGATTAACACATACTCCCAGTACCAAATTTAATATAAATCCTTTCGGTAGTTTTGGACATAAGTCACCCGGAGGGAGAGATACGACGTCCACAGCTGGCGTCCATTTTATACATCTTGCAAATAATGTTTGGACGTATGTACAACTTTCTAACCATACTGTGATTGCCTCATATAATTTACGTGTAGTCTCCAAAAATGTTAATTGATTCAATGCACTCGAATTGACAACTCCGTTGTATTCGTATCAAGTCACAAACTGTCGCGGTTACTCCGTTAGACCTCCCACTGTTCTGCTGTGTGCAGTGGGTTGTCATTAGTCAAGGCGTGAAAGAAGGCGGAAGGTGTGACTTGCTTACTAAAGCAGGGCTACCTGACGTAAGGCTATCTTTTTCATATGTAATTAATAGTGTGAAATACTTCTGTGTTTTGTGGTTTTAACTACAAAACACAAGTAAATTTGTGCTTAAATGTCAGCATTATATTCCAAATAATTTCTAATTCTTCTGTTGTTTGATAACTTGGTTTTTAAAGTTCCTTCCGAATGAAACAAACCTCTTCATACCTTTGTTGCTGTGTTAAGGAATCGAACAACTGTAAAATCAATTGACCCTTAATGTGAGGTCACTCTAAGTATAATAAATACTCAATTCCAAAAACAGCGGCTTTTTTTGCCTGGGATTTGTCAGTGTTGCCAAGGTTCTGGAAACGTTCCTTCACACTTTTATGGATTTGGATTAAGCGGTAAATTTAGTAGTGGTGTGTTAATCGAATATTGAAGTAAAAAAAATCTTGATCATAAAAAGTGCGATTTTACGAATATAAAATTATCGCCATAACAGAACTGCCTGTGGAAACAAGAGTTGTACAAGTGGCGTATGAATAGTTTCCAAGGACTGAACATGGAGGCGATATTATTTTCCTCCGAAACGTTGGTCACAGCTCAAAGGTCGTACGATCCACATCAACTTACGCGTTAATTTTAATGCCCGTCATGGTATTGAAGTTATTGTAGGAAACCCAGCGATATCTCTGGCTTTGTGATTTACGGGATTGAATGTCGCAAGTGGAACCTATCAGGCTGTCTGGAAATCGATATTTTCTCAAGGAAAGCAAATAAACAAGCTGATAAAAAATACACGATCGTTATTCTTTGCGCTTTGCATAGTTCAACCTGCGTATTGTACCGGCAGTCACTGTGTCAGAAGGAAAAAGCTTATTTTAGAGCAGCCATTTGTGATCCTTTGTCTAAGAGAAATTTTATGCCCTGAGCCATGACGCATGGTCTTTCTTTAGTTGATTCCTACTCAGATGGTCACACAAATCACTGATTTTATGGAAGCATTTCAATTGTCATCGTATCCCATCCTAAGCCAGTTCAATTTAACATTCTGTTTCTCCAAAGGTCGGACGTTTCACATGAGGGGGTGGAGGACCCGGTACACATAGACAAACATCTAAGCCACACGCGGGGCTCTATAATGTTGTTCCTTCATTTGGTCACCTGAAGATCATACACCTAGTTCACAACTTACTTGAACTAATGTATGTGTCTTAATATTAGTCTTTCGTCCCTTCGTATTTACTGTGGCCGTTTTTAGAGAGGCCCTCATCGTATTCTCCCTACTTTTATTGTATTCCCCTGTCGGAGGAGCATGTCCTAATTTTTTTAAACATTGTATTATATACAATAAAATCTGTGGTTAAACAGTTAACGCGGCTGATAGCCCGAGAAGATTTTATTGTACATAGTCGCCGTGAAAGCTCAAGATCATATATTGTATTAAATAGTTGATGTGAATCAGAGCTGATTTGAATCTCCAGCCCAGTGGTCCACAACACCTTGCATTCAGCGAGTTCCTTAAAATGGTAAAGTTGCGTCATATTGTGATATAATAAGTATATATTAAATCTTGTCCGTCTAATCACAATAAATTCTTATTAAATATTAAAATATTACAATTTAAATAAATAAATAAATATTTTAAAAAAATTAAATGTTAATTATTGTAATATTTTAAATTTTTTAAAATATTTTAAATAAATATTTTAAATGTTAATTATTGTAATATTTTAATATTTAATAAGAATTTATTGTGATTAGACGGAGTTCCTTAAAGTTAAACCTGCCGGAGCTTGAAGCCACTTATCTGCGCTTTGAGACATATAGTAGAACTCATTGGATTTTGCCTCCATTAGCGCCGAACCTGGCCACAAGGGCAAATTTGTCTTGAATATCTTACCTTTGCTCTTGCCAGTCTTCGACTGTCTCGTGGTTGGTTCACGAGCGTTGGCCCTTCACTGCCCACTACGCCGCAGACATTCGCTCGCTTGTCGGTTCGTTAACGTTGAGGTGTGTTCGTGAGCCTTGCCAAGTGTTTTCATCTAGCTGTTTGGCTCGCAGCCTTGTTGTCAAAATATGATGTTTTAGTGTGGCTACAAATCCCACCTGTCTGCAGCATCTACGGTAATTGTCACACTTCTCACAGCCACCTCATACTTTAGTCCTTCATCATATGTGCATGTTAAATTAACAACGATCTCTTGCAATCGATTCGTAAGGGTGGGAGGCTCGTGATCACGTCCAGTGTCGGTCGTTTTGGTATTAGTGGCTTTTAACCTTCGAGTTTACTGCCACAGAGATAAATACGCAGTTAATTAAGACGGGCGAGTAAAGGTCATGACTGCTTATACTTAGTCGTGGTCTGTATCGATCGACGTCACATATGCATCGTAGAAGAACTTAATCAACGTCAATCTGCACCATCATTATTTCTGGTTCCTGGCTTGACCTGCTTACACCGTCGCCCCCACTCCCGAGCAGAAAGTCATGTGGCGACGCCAGGGCGTCTTTTATTGTTATTCACGGCGTTATTGGCTCGACGCGCGAGGTTTATACCGAAACTTTGTGTTTGTGTGTGCTCATTTTACAACTCGAAATCGTTACATCACTGAAATAATGTGACGGCCTGGCTTTCTGTGCGTAAGATCCCGGTTTCGAAATCATCGTGATGCAACATGCCTTACCCTCGCCCTTAAAAGAAGTCAGATATTTTATGTGTGAGAGGAATACCAAGTCACGCCTTTCCGTGATTAGGATCGTGCGTAACCAATTGGCCTGCATTTTATTTAGAAAAAGAAGCACCCATAGTGTTCGCCGTAACTTGATTAATTTACGTTTTTGTAACACCGCAAATAATATACATTTAAGAAGAAAATGCGGTGAAGACTTTTTAGTTAATTATTAAAATATCAGGGTTGTATGGTCATCGACTCGTCACTCCTCTTTCGCTTGTCTGTGTCGTAAGCCCAGACACTTGTCACTCCTAATTTCTGGGCCCTGCTTCCAGTCGTCGGTCCCCCTCCCCTCGGACGCTGGTCGCTCCCAACATTGTTTCTCCTCTATGAGTCTATATTTATATATCGCCCATTCTAGATTTCGTCACGAATATGCGCTCCCCCTGTCCCCGAGTTGTGAACCACGTAAGGTTTCGTTCTTCCTCGCAGTGGGCTGTGGTGATGTGCTGTGATCGCAAGCTTCTGGTGATATGAGTGCTGTGTGCACGATATATAGGTCTTCGTGGTGAACTGACTGCGTGTGAACTGTGTGAGTGGCAGTGACAGACTCTTTAAGAGAGAATGGGTCTTTAGATTCCAGATTTTTGTATCGTCGTGCTTCGAAACCTGTTGTTTATGAAAAGCAGCGCTCTAGGATTAGCGTGTAGTAGCCCTAGGAAAAACACTGCTTATCGGCGTCGTATGCTCGAATAGGATTGTATCAAATTTCTCTAAAATCTCATGTACATGCCATACAATTATAAAGCCTCACTCTTGTTTGACATACATTTCGATTTTTCGGACATTTAACAACATACGAGATAAATAAATGGCTGTTTTCTGGGTTGCAGTAACGTGTAATCTGGTAGAAGTTTACCGGCTTCTCAAAGGTGTTTGCTGCCTCCGTCATCAGGGTCATCGCCCTGATGATGGAGGCAGCAAACATCTCTGAAACGTCTGTAGATTATACCAGAATACACGGCGCTGCAATCCAGAAAACAGCCATCTTCATACTCGGTCACCGTGAGAACATGAAATCTCACTTGTTGAATTTTTGCGTAATTGATCCTCTTTTATTTTCGAAATTAAATTGTGTTAGGTAACATGAACCAGTAACTTTAGAACTGGGCTTCACGGGTTTCATTTCGCTCAGTCCTTGGAGACCCTGAGATTGAAAATAGCAGGCCTATAAGAATTGGAAGGCAAGCGATCGTGCAAATGTAAGAGAATGGTATCAGAATTTGCCTGACGGGACGAAAGAAAACCTCGTACAACCTAAATCCGAACCCGAAACTTCGCGAATAGGAATCAGTCTACCAATCGCTCTTCTTGCAAGTTGCTTGGAACTGTTTGTGGTCAATAAGGATTAGATGTATTTTCTTCCCGTATTTAGGTCGTGGATATAAAAACTGAACACTCCCTTTACTCCGAGACCAGCCAAATGCTGTGTCGAAAAAGGAGCCCCTAACTTAGGACGTGCTGCTTGGTTAGGTCTGTCACACGCCCCTGGAGCAGTGATAGACGAGAATGGGGCAGAGGTGCAGTGGCCGAATGACGATTAGCAGGGGAAACCGAAGAACTCGGAGAGAAACCTGCTTCAACGTCACTTCGTCCACCACGAACGTCTAGCCGTAAACAAATATATTTCCCTTAGTGTAGTTGGTTCATAGTGATATTTGTCTAAACCCCGTTTCTCTGACCTTCAAACAGAAAATCTCATACTTCTCGAATACACACCTTTATGGTTCCCTCGATCTCCTGACTTCACGGTGTTTTTCCAGCATCGGACTGTAGTGTCAGCCTGTGGCATAGTGCTGCGTGTCCAACATGGCGCCCAGCCGCTTCAGGTGCTTGGCACAGGAGCCCATTAAATATCCCATCGACATGAACCATCAGTCCGACGTCTTGAAAGTAAGTAGAATCTCGTGCCTTCGTGTGACTTCTCTTGTAACGTGTAAGACTTGAGGTTCTCACAGCGGTGAGTATGAAGATTTCCGTCTTCTGGGTTGTTGCGCTGTGTAGTCTGGTTGATGTTAACCAACGTTTCAGAGGTCATACTGCCTCCGTCATCAGGGCGATGAGTATGAAGATTTCCGTCTTCTGGGTTGTTGCGCTGTGTAGTCTGGTCGATGTTAACCAACGTTTCAGAGGTCATACTGCCTCCGTCATCAGGGCGATGAGTATGAAGATTTCTGTCTTCTGGGTTGTTGCGCTGTGTAGTCTGGTCGATGTCAACCAACGTTTCAGAGGGCGATGAATAACCTTGTAACCTTCGACGGTTTCCTCGTTACTGTCTGTAGTTCATCTGAGCCTGGGCCTTGACCTTAACAAAACATCAGTGTAAGGAATTTGGACGAAATGGTGTTTATGTAAGTGAGTTATATGTAACTGATAGGAGAGATGAATCCTAGAGACCTGGGATGGAAATCTATGGACTGGATTCATCAGGATGAGGATAAAGACCAATGGCGGGTAGTTGTGTACTTGGTAATAAATAGCAAACAACTGAACAACTGTTATCTTCTCAAGAAGAACTCTGTTCCGTTGAAGATAGTTACAGGCAATTGAAACAGATGGTCTTTGGTTAGAACAGGGGTTCTGAAACTTTGCAAGTCCTACAGTAGTCACATTCTCAATTTACTATGGGCTTGCGGGCTGCGGGATAGTCAATGAGGACGATGTAACGAAACTTCATGGTTGTCTATTAAGAATGCTACTAGCATAACTGCATTATAGAAAATAATTTCATACTTTCATGTTTGCATGTGAATTTTCAATTATTAGCTATAAAAATACGTTTTACGTTATAAAGGAAAACATCTTGCCTTCGTAAATCTGATAAAGACGCCGCTAAATGTCTGTATTAACGTGATTTCCGAAGTTAATAGGGTTTTTAGAAACTACGACTTTTCTCTCACCACTACATTTTTCTTTAATCCTCGGAGAATTATAGATTTAGCCTAGAGCTTATTTCTACTTTAAAATTTAAAAGGAGTTATTAATTGGCTCAGATTTATTAGCTTCGTATTACGTCACGTTCTTGATTAGACAGCGAAATTTACATTTTGATCTAAATTTTGACACCTCTCAAAGGTTTTAGGTGTTAGGGAAACGAAATTATTGCACATTCTGGGGGCGTTTATTTCTCACTGTAGTACACGTAGCTTTCTGTCTGTACTAGGGGACGTTTTGTTGTTACCTTTTAATAATATAATATTAAGAAATCTAGTAACGTGGAAGCTTAGGAAATTTATTTTTAAAATTGCGTAATATTTGCTTATAAATAGACTTAGTTGTTTTTATTATATTGGCAATGTTTGCGGATGAAGGGAAAGGAGAACTGTTTTCCTCCAAAGGAACATTCCGCAGTTGTCAGAAGGGACCATATTTACCAACCATAACACAAGACACTTCTATTTAGTAAAAACTATTTTACATCCACAAAAAACCAAGAAACGTTTATCGAACATCATTGTCGAAAAGTAAACATTTAAGCAGTGAGACAAGTAAAACCACTTTCATCTGCGGAGGAAGTTTCAAAACAGCTGTAAATATTTGTGGTATGCCTCTTGAAGTGCTCGAATGTTTTACTTGGAGTCTTTCACTTTAAGTGTTTTTCATAGTCTTTTTATCAAAATGTAGAAGCCATCATCCACTGTGTTAATCTGCCGTGTACACAACGTTTATTTTAAGCGTTTTCTTAAAATTTCTGTTTCTAAACAAGATACATTATTTCTTTCCGGTCATTAGATTTATTACTTATAAGTCAGTACCAATACCACAGGTAATACAACTAGAATGTACAATTTCCTTTGTGTGGAATGTCTGTTTTAGATAGTTATCCTCTGTGGGTGGACTGATATTTGGCAACAACTTTTTTTAATTCTACACTTGGGCAACTTTTGCTTAAACGTTAGACATTGTATGAAATTATATTTGCTGGAAAGGATCTTAGGGCAGCAGATAAGTATCTGCTTCTCGGTGCCTTAAATTTTTCAATACATTTACATTCCACAAGTAAGACGGGAAACTTTGATACGGGCTTGAATATAAAAATCACCAAGTGTGGGGAGATGTCTCTCTGGGTCAGGAGTGTATTTGTTTTGACTCACAGCGGCAAAATTAGTCCATCCATGTGACAGCTTTAACAAACTCAGTGCGATCCATCCTCTGTCTAATTACGTACTTTATTTTTTCTAAGACGTGATACGTCATTCCCGCGTGGCATCTCAAGAGCCAAGATTCCTTTCTACCACTTGCAAAGAGTATTATTTTTGGACGGAATCCTTGAAAATCGAGGTGTATTCAAAATAAGAAAAGGAGATTTAAATTTGATACTGTGCTAAAAATATTCAAGATTGTATAAAATATTATTAGTAAGTGGGAGTTTGGGTGATGATGTTAGCCAACATAAACAGTTCGCCAAAAGGCGGCCAGAGCTCACAAAGCTGACAGGCTTCAGGTCTCGGTATAGCCGATTTATCACTCACTTGTAGAAGAAATTACTCAAACCCCCATCTTTTACGTTTGATTATACCGAACGTGGCGGCCGAATGTTCAGTACTTCCGCTTTGTGTACTGTAGGTCCCGGGTTTAAACCTGGCCCCGGAGACCATGAATCCTGACGGATCTTTCATGGTTTTCTTCAATCCCGCTGACACTTGCGGAAAGAACCCAGCGTCGTTAAATAAATTAGAATCTCTGCCTCCCCCGTTTCATAGATTATAGAAGCAGTGTGACAAGCAGCCCTTGATTTCGTGGGAGTGCAGCTGGTTGCGTTGCCGACACGCACCTGCTAAGTTCCCAATTTAAATCCAGCCAATTTGTTTTCGTGGCAACGCGTTTCTTGGATCCAGGTCAGAGGGAGAATTCGCATTGTCCTGTGTAAAGAAAAATAAGGACCATGTGACAAGATTGGAAAGTAGAATTCACGGCGGTGAGTCCGAAGATGGTTGTCTTCTGGGTTGTTGCGCCGTGTAGTCTGGTAGAAGTTCACTGACGTTTCAGAGGTCTTGCTGCCTCCATCATCAGGGCGTTTGAGGAAAGTGGATCCCTTGTTATCATGGTGTGGTGCATCCTCAGGTGGCAAGGTGCAAACAGATTCAATACGCAGTCGTGAACAGCCGACAAGGGATTGAAATATCAGTGGATGACGAAGATGGTGGTGAAGTATATTAGGATTGAACAAGATCGCATACCGTCAGTCTATCTTCATTTACTCACTGTTTTATAGTTAAGCAGATTTGTGCTCCATGCCCCTTCAGACATCCCACTTTCTGTATTTTACTGATATACGTAAATGCAAACTGTTGTTTATGTATGTACCTCGTTTGCGTTATCGGCTACAGAGTGACCCGTTTTAAACCTTACAGGAATGAAGTGTGTTTTGCCATTGGATGTAGAACATGAACAATTGTTCACAAAACAAGATAGAAATGACCGCAATTGTTCTGATCGCATGCATGCCATCTCTGTCATGCTTCTGAGTCACCCTATCGATGCCATTTGGATAGTCTGAGCTAATGGCCGCTGCGTTAAGTAAAAGACAGATTAAATAAAATTAAGCTCAGATTTTGAATGAGTTAAGGTGTAGAAGGAAGAGCCTGTGACTTGTTTTAAGATTCTGCACCCTCATTCGCGTGGAGGGACTGCGAAAACGACGTGACATTTCACGCTTTAAATAATGTTTTTTAAAAGCTGCTCAGCTAATCCTCCCACTTTCCTCGCTTGTGCAACGCAAACTGTCTGTTGAGGTGGAAATATTTGGCAGTTCGCGTGACCTGCTGGGTTTTATGTGAGTGATTGCATACAGCTCTCGTTGAATCTGCTGTTCGTCCCAGTTTTAAAAGTTGCAAAACAGAAGTAAGATAATATTTTCCAAGAATAACCACGTAGGTACGTGTTAATGACTTCTATCTTCCGTTATGCAAGACCGAAATTAATCGATTCGAGCATGTTGCCTGCAGTTCACTGTCCTGTACGTGGTGATTTAGGCCTCCTTCAGTAATGTGCCAACATAAACAGGTTGTAATTGTCGTTGCTAAAATGTCTGCACTTTCACCACCATCACATCAGCTACTACTGCTCTTTTGCTATTAATGTTACTGCAACTATTTTTTTTTATTTAGTGTTCTGTTTGACGACAGGTCCATATGAACAGGATCCTTCCATCCTTTTCTCGGACTGGGACCTGTTCATATACGTTCTTGGTAGATGATCCAGAAGTGGTTTGCCATTGCCTT